ACGGAGTAAGGCTTGTCGATGTTGACAATGCGTCCCAACATGGGGCGACCTCGGTGATGCAGCACTACGGTTCCCATAAGGTCTTGTGCCCAAAGTCCTGATCCTACAATGGGAGGGGGGAGCTGCACAACTAAAGACTCGTTGGTTCCTTTCGGACATCCCTATGCGGCTCTTCCTTACGCCGTCGTCTGATCGTAACGGTGGTGTATCTAAAGGACGCTGCAATCCAAGCAAGTAAGACAGAAGCATGGCATGTCATGAGAGAAAGTGACTAGATACCCATTGATTCCACGGCTAGCCCCACCGATGATGTAACGGGAGCCTTCCGTTCCTCGGCTAAGATAGGTTGTGGGGTACATGTTTAAAGAGCTCGAGTACGTCGTTTAGTAGGGGGCGATGAGCGTTGGAGGACGCGGGCAGCTCTCATTTCTATAGGGCGTAAGATCGGGTCCTCAGCAAGGTACCCTACCAAAGTGGCGGGAAGAGCTGCAGAACGCGAGGGTTGTGAGTCCGTTGGAGTAGGGGGTTCGTCGTAGGAGTCGAGTTGTGTTTCAAGGATGGCAAGGTTAGAGTTTGTAAGATTGGGGAGGGGGCTGTCATCCAAGTCATCAATTACAAGGAGACCATTAGATCCTCGCAAAGGGCAAGGGAACACACTTGAGAGGCAATTACCGCTACACGAGTCGGTTTGAGCCTTCAATCATGGTGTGAAGGTGAAAGTTCTAAGCCTTTTGCAAAGCTTCCCTTGAAATACCACCACGCACTCTGACTTTTACTCGGTCGCTTGAGCCTAGTCAGAGAACCTGGCGAAGTGCAACTTGAGATGTTTGTTATGCCCTCATCGATTTAAGACACCTTTGGCACTTAATTCGATCTTCAAACACTTCACTGCTTGCAAGCGGGGAGTTTCACTGCCGGCTTTATCCCCCTTCTCGCATACTCCTTTGATTATCTTCCTCTTCAAGCTTCATTTCGAAGCCTTCGCTTCTTGACAATCGACTTGACTACTTCTTTTTGAGTTAACTTGAGCTTCGTCGTGGATGCAGTCGATGTAGTTAGTTGCTTCCTCCAGGCCACCGGAGATAACAACTTTCGATCACATGTGTAACCAAGTCTTTCAGTACTCACCTTTCCGTTCCTTCGAAAAGCTCGCGTGGCTTGCACGGCTCTTTATCGGCAACATGTATACGTTGTCGACAGACAATTCTCACAAGCCTTCGGTTCCTTTAAACATACGACACTGCACTTCTCACACTCTCCCTGTCGCCTGTTCACAGCTATACTGAAAGCTTTTGTACACATTGTTGCGTCTAAATCTAAATGCGACGAGCCTGAATTGAACATCGCGCGAAACAGAGCTTCAAAGAGCTTCAGGTAAATTGGCAGTCCTACGTTTCAGCTTGCTCCTTTATCGCTCTTTGCCGACACATGCCGGCGCTTTCCGATCTGTGCCACCTTTTGGCACGTTCTGATCTTTGCCATTCTGGCCTTTGGTGAAAATCAGATATCGTGCACATCGATTGTGGTCCGGCGGCATCGCCCTCACGGGTTCTTTTCCTTCTTTCCTTTCTTTTCTTTCTTTGGCTTTTCTTCCTTTGGCTTCTCTTCCTTCTCTTCTTTCTGCTCTTCCTTTCGATCATCCTTCTTGCCTTTGCCCTTGGCGAAGCTTCCGTCATGCATTTCTGCATGGTGTGGTTGCCCCAACCGGGGTACGTCACCCAAGCATCATTCTTTTTCTTGTAGACAAAGGAGAGATTCGGGATCAGAAAGACATGATTGAGAATGGGGGAAGGCTGTTCATGTCCCTGTATTCTGACAGGATTCAGAATAGAGGGACGCGTTCTGTAGTCAGAGAGAGAAAGCCGGGGTACGGCGGCACAAGTTTTTCAAGTGCGAAGCCGTCGAAGGCGAAAGTAGGGAATAATAGAATTCATTTTTGGGGTTTTACAAGGATCATATTCCCTTACTCCCAACTACCAGCCAGTAAGAAAAGCTAAAGCTTAAAGAAGAAGTGCAAGGCTTCTGTAAGCGACGAGCTGGAAAGAGCATATGTTGCGATGGCGGAAAGAGGTGAGAATAGCGACCAAAGTTCGGAGACTCTCGGAACGTCCGGCCCTGGACTCTGATGCAAATCTCGGGGGGATGCCACCCCAGACGAGAGAAAGGGGCGAAATATAAGTACAAAGGGGTTAGAATAGAGATTATGTAGGGATTAAATACTTCTGAATTGACTAAGGAACATATTTCAAATCATATTCGGAAACCCACTATGGTTTAAGCTCAATGAGGACCCGAGGTCATAAGGAATTCTCCATTCAAGTAAATTCGACGCAATGCTGGAAAGCCTGAACCCAAGACCAAAAACCCACATCCCTAAACCCCCAAACCCTAGACCCAAAACCCCAAGCCCCTATACCCCTAAACTCTAAACCCAAAACTCTAAATCACGAAAGCATACAGGATCCTAAACGGTTGATCCAGGTTCTCGGAGCGGTGTTCAACTGGCTGTCCCGGAGTGGCAGGTTCTGAGTCCCCGCCGTGGGACTGCGCCTGTCCAGGAATTGGGTTCCGTTTCTTTTTTTCGGGGTTTGGGTTTAGGGTTTAGTCTCCAAGCCTTAGGTTTAGGGTGTGTAGAAAAATAGTTCGTTGGGCTAAAAGCACCCAGGCCGCTCGCTTGCGTCTCTTTGTTGTCCCACCCCAACCACCGCAGCTCTTCTCCACGAGGGTTTGGGTTCTACCCTCCAAACCTCCAAACCTCCAAGGAAGGGGTGTTTCTTTTGTTTTCCGTCGGGTGCGTGTCTGGTCTGCTCTTGTGTCGGGCTTTTGGGGCCTGTGGATTTCCTATCCACCAAACTCTCCTAGCGCTGCTTTTTGGATCTCCGTCGAGGTGTGGGTCGAGAGGCTTGAGGTTTTGGGAAAACTGTGTTATAGCAGAGCTTGGGTTGCTGGAGAATTCTGGGCCTTCGAAGGTTTTGGCAGGCCTCTCACACTGCAAGGGGCCTTGGGAGGCCTCGAACCTCTGATCTCGGCCCTCGGGTTCCACGGCATCCTGGGCTCTTGCGAATTGTTGAGCAGGAACACCTGTGGCCATGACCCCTTACTCTGGACCCCTTCAACATTGCAGAGAACGAAGCTCACGGCGAGGTTGGGTGTAGGCTTTATTTAGGGTTTAGGGTTTCAGGTTTCGGGTGTAGGGCTAAAGCCTCAACCCTAAACCCTAAATCCCTAAACCGTAAAACCTTTAAGTTGGCACAGCTTGCTCTGGCAGCCAGGTTTAGGGCTAAGGGTGTTTCTAGCAACTTAAGGGCTCTGGTTGAACTACTTAGTAATGAAGTCGATCGTTCTTCTTCTATGTTGGGCTGAAGTTTTCATAAGTCTGTGCTCAAATTGTCTGATGTTTCTTCAAAGCTGCTTGGATAGTTTGTGCCTTGGCAGACATCGCCGTCGGGGTGCGCAGCATCGATGCATTGCTTCGCACTGGGCTGGCAGGCTGCGAAGCCTCCTATCCAAGAAGATTCTGGGCTCAGAGTAGGCCCGTCTATCATTAAAGCTCCCTGGATCACCCGAGCCTGGATTTTGGCAGACATCGCCGTGGGGCTGCGCAGCATCGATGCATTGCTTCTCCCTGGGCTGGCGGGCCGCGAAGCCACCTGTCCATGAACAGTCTGGGCGCAGATTCTCTTTTTAATAGCTACCTGGATCACCCTAGACCGAGCCTTGGCAGACGTCGCCGTCGGGCTGTGCAGCATCGTTGCGGGGCTGGCGGGCTTTGAAGCCTGGCTTTCAATACAGATCTTTCTTTAAAGTATCCTGGATCACCCTAGCCTGGGCCTTGGCAGACATCGCCGTCGGGCTGCGCAGCATCGATGCATTGCTTCTCCCTGGGCTGGCGGGCCGCGAAGCCACCTGTCCATGAACAGTCTGGGCGCAGATTCTCTTTTTAATAGCTCCCTGGATCACCCTAGACCGGGCCTTGGCAGACGTCGCCGTCGGGCTGTGCAGC